TAGTACTAGTACTAGTGATAATAACAGTACTGGTAGTGGAAGTGGTGGTCTATCAGCAGGCATAGTAGTAATCGTAGTAGCACCAGGAATCGCAGAGGAGCAAGTACTTAGTCGTGGTCGTCGTCGTCGTCTAAACGACTAGAAGAGTGATGAGACTTCTGGTTGCGACAACTATAGCGATCAGCGACGCAGCCGCCATCGGAGCAGACATGAGTTTCCTGGTGCTCGTGTTGCTGCGCTTAGCTTAGCACAGGCATCAGAAAGGCTTGATTGACGAACATGCAGCCTTCTTTCCCTACCGTGCTGTTCCTGCATAATTCCGTGCGGCGATTGTCTTTGAAAACCTCCCTGAAATCATCCCTGTTGTTGAGAACCTGCTTTAGATCATGATTAGAGGGGTTCAGCAGGAGCAATATTAGGAGCAAGAGCAGGAGCAGGAGCAACAGCAGCAGCAAGAGCAGGAGTAGCAGCAACAGCAAGCACAGGAGCAAGAGCAACAGCGGGACCGAATTCGGAGGGCGGGTCCCGCCCGAATCTGAGATTCGGGGGAAGGGGTTAACGCCCAAACCTGTACTAACCCTCAGCCCTAAGCGCCTTAGTCATTAGAAACTGCCAGGTCTCAGTGGCTTTACAGCGAGGTTGCACCTGAAATTCTCGGCGGGCCGGTAACTGCGGGAACCTCGTACAACAGGCTGGGGCTTGGGGTTTAGGATTTGGGGCTTTGGGTTTAGGGTTTAGGCAGGATGCATTGGTAGAGGGGTATCCGGGGATTGTACTAGGGGTTGTTCATGGGTCTTAGGGGCTCGTGGTCATTCATCAGTTCTGCTCCAGTCTCCTCTCGTACTGAAGCATTGTCCCAAGAGGATCAGTGCGACGCTGAAGATGCATCTCTTCATGCTACATTTTGTTAAGCATGTACCTTAAAGTGAACCGTAGCTTCGACGACCACAGGGCTACCTTGCCACAGTCCTGGCTATTCGCCGGCTACGAGAAGCCTGCTCCTGTGGCAAACGATCATCTTCAGTATTCGAAGCTTGTCAGCGGGGTCCGGATGAGGCAGACTGTTTCAGCTGCTGCATCGGAACACTGCATCTTCCCCAGCCTCTTGGATGGTCAGAAACAAAGGGGCTGGCTGCAGAAGCCCTGTTTCCCCTCTGAGTTGGGCTTGCTGTCGCCGGAACTTCAAGAGGCGGAAAACTTTCAAGGTCTGGAACGCCAGGAATTTCTGTTCCCGGATTTATCGAGCATGAGCGAAATGACTCGAAAGTTGTTGGATATGGAGGACGGATGCCACTCTGCATCCCTTTCAAGCAGCCTCGAGAGTTGCCTTTGCGAGTGGTGTAAAGCGCAAACTCCGAGTCAGCCTTGGATAGATGAACGGACGGCTCGGATCGAAATTAGTATGCTGCTGTTCAATGCCCAGTATGGAGCCTACACGTATCTCTCTGTCAACTTTATGATGAATCGTGGTGGTCACATCCACGCCTTCACGCACTGCTTGTCCGCCTTCGTCAGTCCATTTCTGCGACCCTTCTCGGAGCTGGTTCTGACTATCATTGCTGGGATACTGTGGATTGCTGCGCTGCTCTATGCAGCTGTGGCCGAGATATGGGAGATTATTAGCACAGTACGGCAGTCAAGCAAGCGCTTCTACAAATCATTATGGCAAGAGTACCTGGGTTTCTGGAATTTCGTTGACTGGATGTCGGTGCTTGTTGGTACGCTCACTATCAGCTTTTGGATACAGGGCCGCCTAGCTGTGTCTGCTGTGAACGAGCTGATGCCAGCCATGATCCAAGCCAGCCTTGCCCCAGACGCGGGCTACGAAGGGATCGCGCGAAACGTCTTTGCAAGTGCCGAGGTCATGAGCAAGGCCAAGAAAGATATGGAGCTTACGATGATGATCTATCCGTTGATCATCATGCTCAGAATCTTCAGGTCCTTTGAAGCGCAGCCTCGATTGGCCATCGTGGCCGCCACACTGAAGACGGCAGCCCCGGATTTGGCCCACTTCTTTATGATCTTCTGGTGTGTCTACTTCTGCTTCGTCGTCAGTAGCTTGCTCTTCTTCGGCCAGGACCTGGAGAGCTTCAGCACACTTGACCGGGCCCTTCACACCTCCTTTCTCGCAATGTTCGGCGATTGGGACTGGATCGGTATGCGAGATGTTGGAATGATGAGGTCGGCTGCCTGGTTCTGGCTTTTCATGATCGTGATGGTCCTATTCCTGCTGAACATGCGCCTGCGCCAACACCCTTTTGTTTGACGATAGTATGTGCTTAGGGAATGCCGAAGAATGCATACATATAAACAGAACACATGCATACATAGATACATGGGTAAATACATACATACCTACTTACTTACCTACATAGGTACGTACATACATACATACATACATACATACATACGTACGTACATATATACATACATACGTATATCGTACATACATACATGCATGCGTACATGCACACATACATACGTACATACACGTACATTCAATCATTGAGTCTGGGATCAGCTTCAGAAGCCTGTCTTACACGGTGGAGTTGGTGGCGCAGGAGGACAAGGAGTCGGCCATGACTACCTCAAGCGCATCTTGACGGTGAAGGCCGAACTTGGGCTGGTTGCTGGCCGGAGGCAGCTTGGGCAGCGACGCAAGATGGACGCAAACGTCCCAATTACCCGGGTCTGGGTCCTAGAGGGAGCCCCATCACTGGCCCATCACAACTTCAGCACCGACCAAGGCTCCGAAGTGCTGCACGCGACTTTCGGGAAAATCAAGACAGCACACCCACCGGAAAGGAGTCGACTTCGTCTTCAAGGGCGGGACCACTGAAAATGCGGATTCCTTGGCAGTTCCCTTTACTTGAAGGCCGGTTTTCTGATCTTGTGGGCTCGGCTTGCTTCCTCCTCGCAATAGTGATGGACAAGCCCAATCTGCGCACGACCGGGTCCTGGAGTCTCCAGGCTCCCCAAAAGACGCCTTTTGACAAGGCGGTGCCCTTGCCTGAGACCCAGATTGTTCCCACAGAGGCCGGCGATTCTGCGGCCCGGATTGAGGCTGATGCTGGCAAGGATGGGAAGAAGAGCGGCAACTCGCGTGAGCGGGACGCCGCCAAGAAGAAGGCTGCCTGTCAGCCCGTGTTGCCCAAAGGGGCGCGCATCAAGCCCATCGACAAGGACGGCAACTGTTACTTTGCGGCCATCGCTGGCGGTGTTGCGGCGATCGACAAAACCGAGCCCAAGAACGTGCTGCAGGTCCGAGCCGGTGGCTCACCTCCGCAAGCATGCGGAGACATACAAGCATCAGGGGGACAAGGAACTTCCTGACCGTAAAGCTTGCACGGACTTTGAGACATACTGCAAACTACTGCCATGCCATCGGCACCGACAAGGTCTCGGGTGGGATCCTGGACTTACGTGCTATGGCTCACATGAGCCATATCAAAATCATGGTCTTTCCGGCGAGCCTTGACCTGGAGTCCTTTGTGATGCACCCCAAGCGGAACAGTCGAGTGGTATGCGTATGGTTCACAGGCTCACACTACAGACATCGCCGATGACCTCCCGAGTGCATCAAGGACATCAGTGCGCCTGTTCCTGAGGTTCCTGCGCGAGGTGGTGGCGGCAGCAAGGCTTCCTCTACGGCACGGTCGCGCAGAACAGTTTGGACTGACAGAAGTTACAGAAGCTGCAGTGCTGCCCCGTGCACCTGCCCCGCTCGAGGTGCAACCAGTGCTCAGGCTGTTGTTCGTGGCGGTGCGGCTCCTGTGTGGATCGAGGACACCGAGGACGGCACCGACCTAGAGTTTGCGGATCTTGAAGGTCGCCGGCACCACACTCGACCGCTCTGTGTATGCTGCCCCGACTGGTGGCCATTGCTTTCGCTGCGAGCTGAGTCCCTTCTTAGCGTGACATAGCAATGCTTCGCGCGGTGCGGCCAAGGCCTCACGACACTTGATCTCCGTCCATGGCATCATTCGGCGAGCTCCTCGACCTGATGTTCAGCTGAGGGTGGTTGGCAAGCCTGTGAAAGGAGGGTGGCGGTGCCCCTTCGGCCTCGCAAGGACGACTTTGATAGGATAACTTACTTCCATTTTCGAGCCCTCAAGGCGGCCGACGTGAGGCTGCTCACCCCGAGAGCTCTGACTCCGAGTGGCGACGTGCTCTTCAACGTGAAGGTGGTGCCCGGCTGGGGCACAAACAGAAGGTACGAAACAAGAACTTCAACAGCGCCATCGGAATCACTTTACTTGGCCCATATTGGCCCATCGGAGTGGCACGCCTTCTCTTGGCATGTGCAAAGGCTGGCACTGCAAAGTCTGTGGGTGCCTTTACAGGACCGATGTGCAGCTTAATTGAGCAACACACGTGTGCTCAGGCCTCGACACACCTGCGCCCTGAGTCCAGAACTGTCAGGCCGAGTGCGCTGCGCCGCTCCAAGAAGACCATCACCCAGCTCTTCAAGGAGGAGCACCGCACTGAAGGCCTCGACTTGAAGACTGGCGATGATCGACCGAGTCATTGAAAAAGCTGAGAGCGGCCCCCTTCGTGTAGCCATGGAGCATCTCCGATTTGCAAGTACAAGGCCAGCAAGGCTGCTGTCACGAAGGTGGATGCCAGTCGCAACTGTGCTGTGGACTTCGATGTCATCTGCTTGCAGGAGATCGATGTCCCTCGTGATGCCGCCTTTCGTTATGTGCAGGGGTGGAGGCGGCACCCCAACCGAATCCTTTTAGGTGCTGCCAACCATGGCTGATGCTTCCCGTTATGTTGCTGCTGTGGTTTGTACAGGGGACTCGGTGGTGGCTGCGTGTGCTTACAGACATGCCGACTGCCTGCCAAAGGCAAGACAACATGGGCGTGCCGTTGCCAAGGGCCTTTCCTTCTTGGGCCGCCCATGGGTCGCTCTTGGTGATTGGAATGCGGAAAATGACGCGCCGAACAAGCTGTTTGCAAATAAGGAACCATGAGGCACCTGGATGATGGGTTCACCCCTGTGTGCCCTACTTGCACGGGGCGCTGACGCATCGACTACGGCTGGTTGGCCGAGGCTCACGATTGCATGCGACTGAGCTCCACCGGCCTGGCATTGCTGATCACCTGCTGGTCGGCTACAAGCTTCCCTGCAGTCATGTAGTGCGTGCTGGATGTGGGCAAAGGCGAGCCGCCGTGACTGTGAATGCCGATGCTCCTTCAATGAGGCCGACGACTTCGAGGCCGCCCTTGCCAAAAACGATGTGAACTTTGCCTGGCGGCTTCTCTCTGACGTTGCGGAGGCTGCCTTTGCCTTGAGCGTCACGGGCCTAGATTGGCCTAGATCTTCTGCTTGGGATGAGCTTGTGCATGGCCCACATGCTGCCCGGATGCCCGCGTTTGTTGAACTGCGTCGTCTTCGCCGTCTGCATCGTCGACTACTTCAGCTTCAGGCCTCTCCAGATGATTCGCAGCTTCGGCGCAGACTTGTTAAACGGTTCGATGGACATCATTCGATGCACCCCCATCCTGCATGGCCCTACTCACCGAAGTCAGAACAGCTCCACGTACCGCCATGCCTGCGGCGCCCAGTCCGGCGCTGCCACAAACGACATGTCGTGTCCAGCTCGAGTCAATTGCCAGTAGAGTGTGAAAACTGTTTCATGCTCGAGCGCATCCCGAACACTTGCGCGTGTGGAACACAGCCATGCCCCGATCTGTGAGGTCAGGAGCGGAGAGAGACGAGTGACGAGGCCGAAGATCTCCGGTCTGGAGGAACACTGTACAACATCCGTTGAAGTCCCAAATCAGAGGTTGTGGTCATGCGCCGGCGCTTTTCTGCTTCGACGCCGAAAGGCATGCCCTGGAAGGACCAGCTCGGCGCACCCGGTCTCCGACGTGGAGGAGCAGAGAAACGCATGGCTGTGAGATTGAGCGTCGCAGGCTGTGAACGGCAAGCTGAGCTCGGGCCGAGACCTAAGCACGTACATACACATACATATACACATACGTGTACATCCATAGATATACATATGTTTTATGTACAGACATATACACATACATATCACATACATATTCTAATGGCATCGACAAATCCCAGGCTCCTGGCAATCATTATGGACGCCTACCAAGTCGAGAAGTTTAAAGCTTCCGACACGACGACTCTCTGGCAACAGGTTTTAGACATGATCCAGCGACGGCGCCAGTACCAAAGAGGCGAGCGAGTCCGACTAGCCGACATTTTCGAGGTCTTCCGTAAGCAGTACAAAGGAAAAGAGAAAGAGATGATGTCAAGCGATCGCATGATCTCTGTCGAGTATCTCGTGACGCACGTGACTCGAATGCCGTACAAACAGGCCTACAAAACCCTGGTGAACGCTCTTAAGAGGGATGAGGAGTTTCTTGGGCATGTGTCAGCACATTGCATTGCCTCTTTCTAGTATTGCTTGCAAAACGGTTTTCGGTTCTACGGTAATTGCAAGACGATAAATTGAGGCTCAGCAACGGCTTTATGAGCGAGGAGCAAGTGAACAAGCAAGTCGAGTCCACACTGGACGCCTTTGCTGCCAAGATTCAAGCGGTCAAGGATGACGTGGAATTTGTTTCAGACCAGCTCGACTTCTGGGACCGTCTACAGGCTCCAGGCGATTCTGAGTATGACTTCTACTTCGGAGCAGAAGGCCACACTCCGGATGAAGCATCCAAGCTCTGGATTCATAATTCCATCTCCTCGATATCTGTGGAGCTCCAGCATCTTTTTGCCAGAGGCTTACAAAGGATTGGCGTTTGGCAAGACGAGTTCGAGTGCGAGCAAAGCGAGCTTAACGAGAATCTCCTGGAAGTGCACCAAGTGTTGGCTCAGCTGCAGGATGCGGTTCAAAACTTGCACCTCGTATGACAGGAGTTTTGGGCGAGGAAGGGTGCAGGAGCGTCAAAGTTTCAAGTTCATCGTCCGAAGGAAATGTGCAGGCGCTCCTGGAACCCTACTTGTGCAGTTCTTGCCATGCAAGGTAGACGACATACATGAAATATCTCCGATAACGTGTGCTGGGACTTGGAGCGGGCAGAAATCACATGGGAACGTACCCACTGCATAAATCTAGTTGAATGGAAGAACCTCATCGATGGGATCCTTCGGCTGGATCCTCCCCAGTGAAAGGGCCCGTGCAGGCATGTCTCAGAGTTGACGATCCCTTGTTTTGACGTCTTGGTCTTACGGATCTTCATGCCTAAGGTCCTCATTACGAGTGTGTTGTTTTCGGGCACTCCCACACATGACATGTCCTTCAGAGTAGCATCCCTGGATCGTGACCAAGGCAGGCAATCGTCGACTCCATGGACGGCAACAAGGAGGAGAACCCCAATCCGGGTTGATCAAAACTCATGAACGAGGTTCCGCAAAGTTAGGGATCTTTTTCGGCGTTTGGAGAGTTTGGAGACTCCCGTTCTGTTTGTCTGTCAACGTGCATGATGTTGGCGCACAAAGTACGGCGCCAGATACTGTGGGAGTCCGTCCCATATGATGCTGCAATGACAGCATCGGTCAGTTTCACAGCGTAGATGCTCCAATTGAAGCATCTTTGGCCTCTGATCCAGGCCACTGTCCACAGACTACCAAAAATATCGAAATCAAAATATTTCGAGAAGATTATGAAATAAATCAATATCATATTTCTTGAATGAGAACAAACATATTTCTTTTATATGATTTCAACATGGAAAAAGAAATTTACCATTAATTACTAGACATCCAATAAAAAGAAATTTGGTAGAATTCTTCTTTGATTTAAGATGATATTTCGATTTATTTTTTATTAATTCATTATGATTTCAATTTATATTTTTATTCATATCTAGATTGTTTCTACTAGTATCTTGTAAAAATATATAGTGAAATTCATTTATTTATAAATAGTCGAAAAATATATGGTAAAAAATGAAAATTAAAGAAAATAATTATATATAAATTTAGAATTTAGTTAAATAATCTGAAATAGAAATGATTTCTTTCTCTTCTTTCTATAATTCGAGTATTGCGAGCAAAAATAAATTTCGGTATTATATTAATAAGAAATTATGATAAATATTGGATGTAAAGAAATGGAATACGATAATTATGAATAATATTTTTAGGAGATATTCGTGCGATAATTTTCGAAATTTGAGAGGATTTCTAAAGATTTCGCCTCGATTATATTAAGAATCGTCTGAATTATTTATATTTTATTATTGGTGTATATGGTGTGATATATTAATTTTATTTCATCTTTATTTTTCTTAATATTCGTCTTTATGAATTTCGTTTAAATTAAAGATTGAGGGTGGTTATTGAGGAATATAAAGAAAATAGAGAAAGATAGAGGATTTGAAGTTCTTTTCTGCTGTTCTTTTTGAAGTTAATGTCTTTTTATCTTTTAATTGATGGTTTCGGGTTTTAAGACGATTTCTGATATAATAAAATCTCTAGTGTCGTATTTTCTGAATATAAAATTTGATCTTATATTTTTTAATTTGGATTAAACAATTATTTCTTGATTATATTTATATTTATTTCTTTTGACATTTTGTATATTATAAATTTCTCTATTGGTTATAGTCTCTTAAATAAGATTACGATATATAAAATTGAGATCTTGATTTAAATAAATATCATTGTAGGTATGAATAATACTTATATTCTTTGTTTAATGATTTATTATTGATATTATTACTAAATAATATTATAATATATATTTATATATATTAAATTCAATTTCTCATATGAGAGATAATTTGATTGAGATAATAAAAATTTTAATCGTTCTTTATGAATCGAATTAAGGATCTTCTATAAGGATCTTGTAATATTTCAATAATAAATAAAAAATTGAGATTAAATATATATAATAGAAGAATAGCGCTTTTTATTTTATTGATTGAAATATATTTAAATCCTAAGAGATATAGATTTAAATATTTCTATTCGATATATTTTTCTTAAAAAAATTAATCAACTCTAGGTAAGAGACCACGAATATTTAAATTGATATCGTCATCTCAATCAATAGCGATATATTCTTTTTTATCCAAATTAGAATCTATCTGGTCTAATGATTCCTCAGAATATAATAATCATATTCGAGGCGCCAGAAATTCAAAAATAGACTTGAAATAGATAGAGACTTCTTTTTATTGAGATGTCCCTATGAATTAAAATCATTCTTTTTATCAAAAACCGAACCATTGTTCCGAATATTATCTATGAATGAATTTTATTAGATCTCTCTTTCTCTTTCTTTCGTTTCTTTCAATTAATCTTTTTTAATATAATAGAAAGGATCCTAAATTCCTTCTCGATTCAATATAAAAATCAAATCTATATCCGAAATATTAGAAATATACAATCTTTAAAAATGACAACTATGATTTTAATTAAAAACATTTTCGAAAAATATGATTATATTGAATAAGTCGTTGATCTTCTTTCTTCTTCAATCAAGTGTGCCCAGTACTATCGATTTCGAAGAAATATTCGTCTGTTAAATATAATCGGAAGCCAATATCGTCTTGCCACAACGAAAAATAAATCGAAGAAAAGATCACGGATCCGATTCAACGTGTTTGGGTATATTGCATATATTTCTCGATTCAATTTATCTTATTCAAGCAGATTTCCAGATAGATTTCTTCCCTCATAATTATCTATCTCCTCGAATATCGATTCCACCATAACAACAAATATAAGAAGAGCTGATCAATTTATGATCCGACAAGCGACGAGGATATAGATCTCCGATTGAATTTCTTATATTCGACTCTCGTCAATTCTCGTCAGATATCTCTCCCGGATCTTCTTAATCGTAATTTCTTCAGATACACAACAAGATATTGGAAAAGATATATAGATAGATATATGAGAATATAGCTATATATCTATATATATATAGATATTTGCAGATATATCCATATATATATAAATATCATTTAAAGATCTATATTTATATATTCCTTTAGATTAAAATTTAGATGAAATTCATATAATGAAAGCAGAGAATCAAATCTCTTCTGGTTCGTGTTCGTTCATCTCGGATTCTCAAATTCGGGGAAAGACCGCAAGATATCCCTCAGCTGGCGCCGAAAGCCTGCACACCATGAATACTAGATTCCATTCCCAACCTAAATTTCAATTTTAGCGGGGATTTATTATCGAAAGCGTATTGCAAAACGATCCTCATCTAGATAAAATAGAAGACGAAGAAGATCTCGCCTCGAATCCTCATAATATAATCTGTATTCATATATACCATTATTTGATTCATCAAGTGATTCAAGTGTCATCTTCATATTCCACCTCGGATATATCATGGGATGATTTTACCCGATTTTTTCTCATTTATTTCCAAATGGCCAAGCAGCTACAAAGATTCTGATTATTGGGCTCTCTTCTTCTTGGCAGCTTCGAAAGAAATCCGTCGTATGTTCTCTTCTATCATATTATTTTTCTTGTCTTTCTTCTGCTCAGATCGTCTTCTAGATTTGTTCTATTTCTTCCCTTTCTTCTTCTTATCTCCCTCCTTCTTCTTAAGATTAAATAAAGAGACTACAAGCATCAAATAACACATTCTTGAGGCACATATTATCAACAACCGTCAGGCACAAATCAGCAAAGACATTACGATTTCTTAATCACTCCTTCTATATTACAACAATGAAATTAGATCTTCGGAAGAAAACCAATGAAATCGAATTCATTAAGTGTATATATTTCAAATACGGAAAAATACAGAATATTATAATTAGTTAATCAAGTCTTATCTTCAAAGAGCTCCAGAAAAAATTTAAACCGACCCTCATCTATAATAATTAATACCAGCTAATAAATCGAAATTTTGAGACTTCATATACATATAATTAATAAAATATAGCCATAAGAAAAGAATATATTCTACCAGAAATATGCAAATTCTAAAAATTTTAGAATATTCTAGAAATAAATCGAATACATATATATAAAATCCAGATAAAATCTTATTTTCTAAAAATAATATTAAAAAATAATAACCTTTCGAATAATAATAATAAAATTTAGAAATCAGAATTCATTGCAATAATATCTTTCTCAATTCTTCATATAGAATTATCTTTTTTCCCTATGTGCCATTTATATCATATATTATATCTCATGCCTCTCCATTTAAATTCTTCTATCTCATCATCACCAGCTCGTCCCCTCCAAGCCATCCCTATCGTCCCGTCCCCTCCATCCCATCCCCTCATCTCCTCCTCCCATCTCCTCCATCCCACCCCACTTCATCCCATCTTCTCCATTTCGTCTCCTCCATCCCATCTCTTCCATCGCGTCGTTTCCATCCTAACCCCTCCCTCCATCCATCCCGTCCCTTCCCTACCGTGTCCACTACCGTCGCCTCTGTCCCATTCCCACCCCGCGTCCCTCCCCTCTTCTGTGTCCCCCTCCGTGTACTCCTCGGTGTCCCCTTCCGTGTCCTCCTCCATGTCTCCCTCTGTCTCCCCTGCGTGTCTCTCTCCGTGTCCTCCTCCGTTCTCCCTCCAACATCTCCCTCCGTCCCTCTCTCCGTCCCTCTCCGGCACTGGAGCATTGCTTAGTTGCGCCGTGCTGCAATGTTCAAGCCAGCATCTCCGGAGGAAAGACTTCTCGGTACACCACACTATGCGTGAACAAGTTTCCATCATTAGTTGTTTGTTCCATCCGTGCTTCATGGAGCCAGATTTCACGAGATTCTCTGCAAACTTCGCATACAAGGACATAAAGTGAAGCTTGGTTCTCTGCAAACGACGCACACGAGGACATAAAGTGAAGCTTGGAAGCACTCTATATCCGTTCTCTCAATTTTCTAGAAATTTAGGGTCTTTAAATTTTCAAGAAATTTAGGGAATGGATTGCCAAAATTTCTCGAAAATTTAGAGGCCGAACAAAACAATAAGCCCGAGACTCTAATTTTCCGAAAATTTAGAGGTGCGACGCTCCCCCAAGTCGCATGAAGGGATAACGCCTCGAAACGCAACTCCCAGGGCTTTAAGTTTCCAAGAAATTTACAGCGCTGGGAAACATATTCGCAAGGCCCTCCCGAATTCCTAAGAAAAGAAGAGGAAATGCTAGCCCGGAGGGTGGCCACACGAAAAAGGGGCAGTTGCAACGTTTCATTTTTTGTAGATTGGATATTAGTATATACATGACATTAAGAAAAAATAAAAGTATACAATAAAAATACAGGATGAAATTATTCCTAATTATAAAACTAGAAAACATGTGGCCCGAAAGCATCATTTGC